ACTTTATTTAGCCAAATTTGTGAAACCTTTCCAATTAACCATTTCTTAGTTAATGGATTCTTGCTTCTTTTGCATCTTCTGACACTGACCTCTTTTTGTTTTTATGTGATTTCTTGGTATATTCAAGAAGAAAAACACACCTAAGAATATGTTCAAAAATAAATTAACTAAAAAACTCGTAACTACTTCTGAAAATACAAACTAAAAGTCCCCAGTCAATTCTTAACAATCTGTCTTTGGATGAACTGATGTTGATGCTGTAGCCACCTCTATAAAGAGGTTTTTTCTTCTTCTTTTTTTTATTTAAATAATCCTGTTAAAATTTCCCTCTCTATCTTGGTCACTAATTCCCTCCTCCTCTAATCTTAACTTGCGTTATTCTTTTCTCTTGTAAAAGTTTTTTTTATTTTACACTTTGAATCTAGTGAAATCAAAACAGAACCCAAACTTTTTTTTTTTTTTTAACCAGAAACATTGAAAACAGGAATAATGTTTATTAGAGTGAACCAGAAATTTATGAAGACTAGAAACTCAGTCAAAACTAAACCAGTAATATCTCAGGACTTCCTTCATTTGGTCTGTGGTGACCAGCTTGTGTTCTACTCTTTTATTTTAAAGTTTTAAAGCTTTCTACACAATCTGCAAGCAGCATCTTTTCCTCTTTCATCAGTTGCTAAACTTGGAGACTTTTGCAGGGATGTTTTGGTCATCTTTTCATGCACACTCATTTTGTGGTTAAAACTAGCCTGCGGCTGAGCGCAGCCTACAGCTAATGGCCACAGGCTCTATTAGGAGAGTCTGCAGTCATTTAACTTGTGACTGATGCTCAGGTACTTCCCATGACATTACGTGTTGTATTCAGACCGAACCTGTGTTTATGGCACGTGTATTTTCTTGTTCTTAAAGAGACTGACGATCCGAATCGTTTACTAGGCTGTGGACCATAAATGAACATAGTTTTGTTTTATCCTGACTGATCAATCGATGGGACTAGTGAAGCAACCGGGGATTTATACAGCCAGTAACTATATTAATAAGCACCACAGTGGAAGCCAGGAAACACACATGCACAACTACATGGCTATTAGCAAGTACTTGAAGGTTAATGATTTTTTATTTTTTTAATCAGATGATCGAATCAGACAAATATAATGTAAAAAAAATGTGTTGGATATGGGTCTAAAAGTCTAAACGATATGGGTAGTGGTGGCCTAGTGGTTAGGGCATAGAGCTTGGTATCCTGAGGTTGTGAGTTCGAAACCTACTCCCAGAGACTGCCACTCTGGGTCCCTAAGCAAAGACCCTTAACCCCCAATTGCTCCCCAGGCTCTGCACAATGGCAGCCCACACCCCCAAGGGGATGGGTTAAATGCAAGGAGTGAATTTCATTGCACTGTACTTGTGAAAGTGTATTGACAATAAAACACTGGAGGAAAAAATAATCAGTTATTGAATATATTTTTATTGCGATATATATTAATATTGTTATTGTGCAGCCCTGTTTGAATGGAAACCTAATGTTCATGAATTCCACAAATAATGTGTTCTACGCGGCTTTTATAAAATACTTAAATTACTACTTTTGCCTGTTTATATAAAGGCCAAATAAACTGATATTATACCACGATTTCAATTCTTATTATTTTTTAATGGAGTTTAGGGTGTAAATCACATCCATCATGGCGATTCGATTCAGTATCAATTTCCTGATCCGACGATTCGATTATTTTCTATACTCAAGAATACACTACGATGCGATACGATTCGATTGATTGGTTAATTTTCTTTCTTTTTTTTTTTTTTTACCTTATAGGCTAGACTTTGTTTCAATCAATGAAAGCTGTGATATCGTTATGCATTTTATTTGAGAAACAACAGCAAATAAGAGAAGTAGCAAAGTTGTACTCCACCTAGGCCTATGAAAACCTCATTCACTAAAAAATAATAATGCCTCTGTGTTTACACGAGTGTGTGTTTGCAAGTGGAAAGAGGGTAGAGGCTAAAGGAAGTGAAGTAGGAGGGCAAAATAGATTTAACGCCACCGAAGCACGGGAGTCAGAACTACATCCAGAAGCTAATGGATAAAAATAAACCGGAGAAAAAACAAAACATGAATCGGTACTCTTGCGGACGTGTCGATGCATCGGATCATCGGCTGTTGGATCGACGCAAAACAATTATTATTTACACCCATAATGGAGTTTATGAAGGGTGAACAATTATGGATTTCTGACATTGTAGTATTAAAGCATTGTGCTTTGAGCTGGTTTTGCTGGACAGGTTAAGCTTTAGTTTTGCCTCTAGTGTTTATGTCTAATTCCTCTTTCTCGAGCAAATATTAATTTACATAAGGCCAGAGCTATTTTCTGTTGCAGACTGTACTCTGCATTTTTTTCCCCTTTAATTCAAGACATATAAACTCAGATAAGAAATAAAGGTTCTACGACAGATGCAGCTTAAAGAATATAGCACAGTTTTTTTTTACATAACCTAGTGCATAGTAATGGCACCTGGTTGTGCAGGTCACTGGCTAAAGTGCTAATGGGGGATGTTCTATCTAATAATGTACATCTGCCTGCTGTGGTCGGCCATACTATTAATTCGCCAGTAATAATCCTGTGTACACAGACATCATCTCTTATGTTTCCTCATTCTTTTAGAGCCTCAACTTTTCACTCTCTGGACTATACCAGCTGAGTCCATATGGTCCTCAGCAGGTCTTCAGGTCCCGCTATGTTTCCTGTGTGGAAGGTCACTAAAACAAAAACGTGCGTTTGCCCTTAACACACTCGGTGACATTCCTCACAGATCTTTACTCTGCAGCTCTGAACATGTTTTTCAGAAACACTTTTGCATGGAGCTATGAAATAATGTCAGGCTGTTCCATGTAATGACATTCATTTCACAGATGATTTTAAACCTGGATTAAGTTGTAGTTGGATTTAAATACCCAGTTGAAGACTTTAAAAATATCATAAATAGAGGCGTGCAAAATAATCGTCACGATGATGCATCGCCATTCTAATTTTTGTGATCTATTGCATCAATTCTTGACGCCAATTATCTATTCTTAATTTAAAAAAAGGAATAAATAAAATACATGAATGGTTGGCGCACATCAGCCAAAAACAAGTGGAATACAACTTCCAGTCCAGTAGATGTCCCTGCGGATGTGTTGACGCCCGCTGCTTTGTGTCACAAGCATCTTTGATCTTTGGATGCATTTTGACTTTTAAAGCAAGGAAGGTAAAAACTAAATTGATATGAAGCACATAATTTGCAAAAGGGGAAATATACATTTGAATGTTTTGATTTCATTGGTTTAAAGGACCAATGAGGCCATGTAAACGGCGTGATTATCCTTATTTTGTTATTGTAAGTTTTATAAATCCAGTCAGCCACTGGTAATGGCTGTATTTTTTTCTAACTGTGTTCAGTGAAAATATCGCAATGCATTGTGATGCATCGCAATATTTCAAGTATCGCTATGCATCTTGATTCGAATCGAATCGTAACTTCTTTGGCAAATTTTAAAGAAGAGTTATAAAACCACGGCTCCAAACAGGGAGGTTTCCCTGAGTGGGAATCAAAGTCATTAACAGACTCACCTCTGAACCTTTTTCAATATTTCCAATTAGATTAGATATAGACACAAACTAAACAGAGATGCTGCTCTGGGTTTGAAAGGAAAACTAACAAATATTTGTCACACGGACACAGAGGGTTGAACTATTGCCTAAGGTTACCAACGGGGGCAGTATAGGAACAGTGAGGAAGTGGAACGCTGTCATAATGGTACAGAGAAATAATGACAGCACTGGAAGAGATGCACTGGGGGCGAATAAGAGGAAGTTTGTACAACACATGAGTTGCAGAGCTCTGTGAAGATTAAGCTGACTGAGCAGCCAAATGAGCAGCTTTCTCTCGGCTGTAGACGCCTTTTCCTGATGCAGCCTTCTGCTGTTTTGGCATTGGGAGAGATAACCGGTACATATTGATCTGTGTATATTGATATTCTTTACAGTTCTCAAAACAATTGGAAGCACTTTTTGGAATATTTCTAACAAAACAAGTAAGAAGATTAGCAAAAAAGCGTAGATCCACTTCTACATCTTTCTGAACCTGCAGCGTAGGTAATCTGCAACATTTTCCACTTATGGAAATTTAATGAAACCTCATCATATAGCAAAAACTTGGGTTAAAGGGATGGTTTTGTCTGTGCTATAGCGATGGAGTAAAAAGCAGAGAGGAGAAACTACAGGGGGAAGAGTAAAACCACACAGTAAAGTCAAGGATGACAAATAAATCAGTATTCATAGCAGAACACAGGAGGCGCTGGAGTTCATCCTCATTTAATATGATGAATGATGACAAAAGCTCCCTTCTGATCTCGCAGCGTTTATCAGCGCTAACTGCTGCTGCAAGTTTGAATTCACCCAACAGCGAAGGGAGTAGTGTAGCCGTTCTTTCCTCTGTGACCTTTAAGGAACCGTACCGGGCCTTCATCCTGCTGACACCCTCCCCGTGTTTGTTTTTCATTACTGGAGTACATCCTCATGGGACAGAGCAAAGTCAACATCCTGGGGCTCGTTTGGCCTCATGGAGGTGCAGCCTAATGTTTCACTGTCATTGCAGGAGTGCCAACCGTCATCATTGGGTTCATCTGTGCCTGTCAATGCAACTATGGATTAGTTAGGTTTAGGTTTGGCTTCCCAAGAGGCTGGGAGGCTTCTTTTTTTTCTTCATTCATAATGATCTAAACTGGAAGTGGATACATTTTACTCCATTCCCTGCAGTGGTTATAAACCTCAGGCTACCTGCTCTCATTGAGCATCTCTACAACAGAAAATTGCAGAAGCGTCTCTCTCACAGCTGATGCACCAAAGGTTTCATGCTGTTGATGCAAACGGATTAATTTTCCACAGGACCTGATATGTTCTGAGAAATTAGCTTCAGAGCTGGTTGATCCCTTTTCTGATTTTCTGACCTTTTTCCTGCAGGGAGGAGGAGGAGAGCCTACGCAACAAGATTCGTGCCGACCACGAGCGAGCACTGCAGGAGGCCAAAGAGAAGTTGCGAAAGTCTCATAAGGAGCTCAAGGCTGAGATCCAGACGGAAAAGGCAAAAGTTCTGGAGGATCTAAAGAAGAAGGAAGCAGGCCCTAAACCCTTACCCCCTGTCCCCATGCCTAAAGTGGTCGGGGTCAGCGACGGGGAGCCACTGGAGGCGGACATCAAAGAAAAGCGGGATAAGATCAGAGAGGTAAGAACATCTCTGCGTAGAAGTTACTGGATGGTGCGGCTTGATTTAAACTTCCTGCTTGATTCCATCAATGTGCCCCCTAATGGTGAGGGAGGAAACTGTATGCAATCTATTGCACATTTCATTATGTTGAAGCTACAAGCTTCATTGGAAATGTATTTATTTAAATGAATAATTAGCAGTGAAGAAGTGGTTGATGTTTCTGGGTTTTTTCCTTTTGCATGTCAGCATGTTTTCATGGGTATCTCATAGGGATGTTAACTTCTTAGATGTCAGTTAAGGCCGGGCTATTCATTTATAGCATTGCACTGATAAAGATTTACTTTTTGGCAAATGTAGATTTCTTTCGGTTATGGACTCCTTGGTTTTCTTTATCTCAGGGTGGCATCAGTTCATCACTTTTGTTATTTAGATTTGCACTCAACTGATGGACTAGCTAATTGTCTTATACTACTGGATGCAAGCATTTGTGCGTCTTATTTTGAACATGATTGTTTTACAACAAACATGTTTGATTTTCAGTCAACCGTCGTTCACTGACCCATCGCTCAGTGGGCGTGCGCAAACAAGGATTCTACCTTTTCTTCTTACCCTCAGATGAAAACACAGAAGCATGGCGGGGTGCGGGTGAAATGGCGTTCTTTCTGTAAAACTGACAGACGGTAGTAGTAGCCACGTTTGCTCAGCCATGTCTTTGTCCAAATACGTCGTCACCTTTTCTTTTTAGGGCTGTCAGCACAAAATTGCACACATTGCCAAAGCAGCGCGTTTCTTTCTAGCTAGCTTCATATTCCTCTTCTACTGGTTTGGCTTCCAGATAGACGAGTCCGAGTAGCGCCATCTCACCGCGGACCTGAGTACGACGTTGTTTTTAGACGTACAGTGTGAGCAGGTAGATCGCATCAGAGCGTCGTGCCGCACAGTGTGAGAAAATACATCATTCACTTGTGAACTCACACAGTGTGAGCTGTAGCTGCTTGCAACGATTGAAAAAATCGCGGAGTCTATCCCCGGCTTAAACCGACCATTTAGATAATCACTGCTTTTGCTCCGTTGTTCTCGTAACTCCTCCTCCACTGCACGGTCCTTGCGCCATCTTTGATATTAGTTGCCGCTGTCGGATAGCGACAGCCTATGGCGACAGCAGGTTGCTGTGAAAGCAAAGCCCATAATGGTGTGTGAGGAGAGCTCACCGCGCAAAGCATTCTGGGATATATCTGCCTCTTCTGAGACTTTTCTTTTCTTATACACACTGTGTCTGACTGTGTAGTATCGGCTGATACCGTACCGATACCATCTCTTTGAAATTGATATGTTTGTGTGTGTATATATGAAGAACTGCATACTACTTGGATGTAAAATAATTGCCATCATGGTTTTGTCAAGCTGCTGCCTACCTTTGTGAAGCAGGAAGAAGACTAATACAAACAGAATCCAGTAGAACTTTTTATTGCCTACCTGGAATGGGTGACAATAGTTGAATAAACTTTAGGCTCTCAAAATGGTATCGATGCCCATTTTGTTGGTACTCGCCGATGCCACCATTTTAGTGCTGGATCGGGGCCTCGCCCGATACTATTATGAATGATTAATTATAGTAATTTATAATTACTATTATAAATTATTCTTTAGTCGATCAATAAGATCAATCATCTTTAGATTTATAGAAATGAAGGCGGCAGATTTTCTCATGGCACCTGTTGTGTGAACGACGATCATAACGTTCATGTTTCTCAGACAGTTTAACTTGGACATGTGACTCTAGTTTGCGTGTTGGAATAATTGCTGTTGCCCGCTGCCTGACTCGGAGCCAGCTCCTACTGACGGCCGCAGCAGGCCAGACAGACAGTGCATGTGCAGAATGCAGATGGTGCTATCTGGTGCTGTTCTCTTTAGACACGGTGCCAGGGCATCAGCCCCTCTGCTCTGCTTTGCTCTCCTTCCTCTCCCCTTTCTGCAAGTTTGCTTGCATAATTGCCTCATATCGTGTCTCATGAAACAGCACTTGGAGTCAGAGCACTCGCTGTGCAGAGGAGTAGACCCGTTCTCTCCAAGCCGCCTTTGTCTCTAAAAGCCTCTTTTGTTCCTTTTCATAATTGCCATGCAGAGAGAATGCCATACACCCCCAAATGAGCAAGAATGAGGCAGCTGTATGGGCAACAGCACAATCCTCCTTTCCTGATTGCCTCACAAATCCAAGGAGAAAACCTCATAACCCTGCAGAACAGTCTGTGTGAGTGGAATACACGAGCTTTGCATCCTTTATGTCTTGGTTGCATTTTGATGCTGAGAGGTTCACAGAGGTGATCCAGCATCCTCTATCAAAGTCGCTTGTTTACAGAAAGCTGTAATTCCCTCAGCATGGAACTAAAACATCCACTAACCTTAGATCTGACGGGTATTTTTGCTCCGTTCTCTGTAGGCTTTGTAATATGGATCCATGAGGTAGAGAAAAAACTGGATAAAATCTATACCTACAGATAATTTAAATGCTTTTTTTAGCCGGTCCGTCTTTAGGTTGAAGCTGACGATCTTTAGATCTCCTGACAATCATTCTAAAAAGAAATATTCCAGGTGTTTTCACATCTGGCTCATCATTTATGTTTGTTGTGATGTTGGATCATCTAAGCCCAGGGTTGGGCTGCAGGATGATAGGAAAGAATGCGATATCTGAGTATCTTTATAGATGTTAAACAAACCTAATCATGTCAGTTAGGTTGCAGTGAAAGAATGGCTTCTGATGCATCAATAACATTAGTCACGATTTTGATGGGGGGGTGTGCAAAATTGCCCAACAGTTTCAGTGCAAAAATAAAGAACAACTTAACTAATAAAGCATTAATCACAACAGATAAAATATTAATTTTTTTTTATAAAATGGAGGCAGAATTCCCTAAAGATCTGCAGGACTACTGATACAACTAGCATATCGCTTGATCTACAAATGTCTTTTTACAGTTCTGTTTAATAACGCTTATGCTAAAAATGAGAGCATTTAGAAAATGATGCAAATCAAGTTCACACTACTACTGGTGACCCCACTCCCACTTATTACCTGTTAGTGAAGTTGAGTCTGTTTAATCAAAATTCCGCAGCCAGCTCTCATTGTTTTCCTGTATAGTTTGATTTTTGTGGCTTTATTGCCCAGCAATAAGCGCTAAATCATATTTATGGTGTTGATCACTCTATATGGACTGATCCAACACCAGTGGAAAAGGACATCAATGTCAACTTCCCCTTTAAATGTCAACTGCTAACAGTGACAAGAGATGCTAAGGATTTATTGATACTAACACCTAATGATGCTCTTCACTGAGACGGTATTTTATTGATACCTTTTTATTTTTTCCTTGATTAATCAAAGTGTAAAAAATGAGCACTAACTGGTTTATTAAGTTTTTTAAAGTACTTTAAAATGGAAAGTTTCCTCCAAAGTAGATATGTTCTACTTTGTAACTCCGCCACTTTTCCTGCCAGACCCAAAAACCTGCTGCCGCGACTAAAATAGGCCTGGGGTCGGTCTTAAGCCGGGCATACACTGTGCGATATTTTCAATTGTTGCGCGTAGCTACAATTAAAACTGTACGACGAAGTTGCAGTGTACAATGTGCGACCTGACGATCTGATGCGATCTACCTGCTCGCACTGTATGTCCAAAAACCACAGGACTGAGCACCGAGATATGGCTCTGATCGGACTCATCAATCTGGAACAAGAAAAACTTCCTTTTTTTTGCACATGCACAGTGCTCGAGGTTCTGGTAAATCCACTCCTAGCTCTGCTCAACAGCAGGATTTTAGTCCACAAACACCTCATGGCGGCCGACTGAATTTCAAAGATGTCTGACTTTCTCCCGACCTCACGATTTCTTATTGGGAGTTGGTCGTGAGAGGCTAATCGCCCCTCGTTACCCCTTGTATACTACACTATGCAGGAATGTTCGATCGGGCCTAAAGTCGGCCCTATCGAAAATATTCTAGCACGACTAGAGAATCGACCTGAAAAGGGCAAAAAAATCTTAGAGTGTATGCCCGGCTTAAGTCGGAACTACATAAGCCTCTGGAGAAACAGGTGGCGGGTGTTCCTATCCCCATTGATTCTCAATAAACTCTAAACACCACAACATCATCTAACATGGTTTTCTGTCTGTTCAGGAGGTCAAATCAGTTTCAATTATGTTCAGAGCTTAGCAAAGCAGAGCTTCCAGTTGATGGTTGGTTGAAGGATGGTTTCTATGTGCTAGCAGCCACCATATTATTGTTTTAGACATGAGATATATTACAAATCTCAACGCATTCCAAAAAAAGAAAATAAAAGTGGCAGGCAGGTGACGCAGTGGTTCGTGCGCCACGACTCATGTACGGAGGCCTCAGTCCTCGACGTGAACGACCCGAATTCAAATCCGACTTGTGGTCCTTTGTCGCATGTCTCTTCCCCTCTCTCATACCCCCTTTCCTCTAAGCCTATTGTTAGAAAAACAAGTCACTAGTGCTGTTAAAACTAAAAAAAAATAAAAAAAATAGAATACAAATCACTTTTTCCAAGTTTGAAGATGTTTCGCTTACCATCCAGGAAGCTTTTTCAATTCAAAATGTCCGGACTAGCGTTGCGTTCGAGTTTTATACAGTAGCCCAACAAAGCCTTGTATTTGTTTTGAAAACATGTAAATTGAAACAGACGAAGGGGTCCATTCCTTAGGAATGGGGGTCGTTTAGCTTCATTTGTTAGCCATAATGGAATCACTATGACCTGAAACTTTTCACCAACAAATCTCAATACAGTTATCATCGCCCTGTCGTATCTTAGTGGTAATTATTGGTTACATTTTGGTCAGTCCTCACATGTGTTCATGTTGTTCATGCCTTTTTTTTTATATGTTCAATGTGAACTGCCCAACTAAACATGCAGCAGTCGGGGCCATTAGCCAAATCCATCTGAGAACTCCTGCTGCTTTATTCAAGCCCTTTCTGCAGAAATGTTGCTTTTGTTCCCTTCAGATGCATTTTTCATCGAGCATTCAGGAGAGCAAAATTCAAAACTATTTTTTTAAGCTCTGCTTTTCTGTTGTTTCCTTTGTGACCGACTGGCTTCTGCATGAGAATAGTTGGAATAAATGTGTTTATGTAATTAATGGTGCTACCAGGCCAATTAACCTGTCGCAGTGTGAAACAGTGGCTCCAAGCTGTTGAATTGGAGTTTTGATGTTTGTTATATTTGAGTCTAACTAGAAACGTCTAAAGATCTTTGCCAGAAAATGTGGTACAAGAATAACAGAAGATAATAATAACATGATTGATTAAAAATATCCTGATCTGAATTCTGTGCAGACATAACAACCTTCTCTCTGACAGTGACCCTGCTTTTCTTTAAATTATTTTAAACCACCTTTCTCTTTATTTTTTATTTGTTTATTGATGCTTTTCCAAACAGCTCCGGTTCTGCACTTTCTTCTGTTTAACAGCCTGAAGATCCTCTATTGGATGTCTGTGATGTAATCAGGCTCTAAAATATTTTTTTTACAGCTAACATTGTTAGAGCAGAATGACACATACACTGACAGGCTAGCTTCACAACTTTGATCATATTTATTTTATCCTTTGTATTTGGCAGCAATTGAGCAGTTTAGTCCAACAGGTAAATAAGCCAGAAGTCCTAAATAAGGGCAGTGTAAATATTCAAATTGTGTGAGCATACCGCAGCTCTTTGAGGCATTCCTGGATTTAAGCAAGAACGGAAGGAACTGTTCGAATGCCGAAGGCGTAAAACAGGAAAACGGGAGTGAAGGCCGGTTTATGCCGTTCAGTCAAGCAAATAGCTGCAGCTCAAAAAGCTAAAATAGTTTGTTCTTGTTCTGATAGAGAAGTGCAGGAATACCCAGTAGCAGAACCTTGTTAATCCGCAAAGGGGCCCAAGTCATGATTTTGACTTATAAATTCATAATTAACTCAAATTTATGACTGAACCTCATTAATCAGTTCAGTTTATTTATATAGCAGCATTTCACAACACATGTCATCTGAAGGCAGTTTACAAAGACAATTCAACCAGATCAAATAGTTGGTTTGGTTAAAAGTTTTCTATCTAAAGCCTCTTTTCTCACTAAAGTTATTGAGTTAACCCAAGTCTTTCAAACGCTAACAATTAACGGTCTGACCCCCCTTTGGCAAGCTGCATGGCCTCTGTCCCCCCCACTTTTGCATGTCTGATAACACCATCACGCTGGGTTAGTCTTGATGATGTCACCAGCGGACAGAAATCAGGAAAGTAAACAGTGGAGAGCAACATGGAACGAAGCCAGGGCTTAGTATCCGTACTTTTTTCCCTTTGTGCATTAGATTCCCATTTACTAGAGCTGCGCCATGTTCATCAAATACAAAGTTCTTTGAGCTTGTTAGATCAGATGCGACTGGCACGGTGTATTGGCGTCTATATGTCACGCTCAATGGTGTCACTTAAATTAGCAGGTCGACCCAACTCTGGTGTTCCCACAGCCGGCCGATCAGAGCCGAGGCGATTTTAACACTGGACACTTGCCGAGTTTTTTGACCTTGGTCGACACGGGTCAGTCAGCCATTCCCACTGCCACTAAAAGCAGATTGTTCTCTGGTTTAAACCGGCTATTTGGCCAGTGGGAAAGGGGTATAAGGAAAACCCGCTGATTGCATTGACTCGAAGGGCATCCCTCACACTAAGCATGCTTATAGTGACAGTGGAGAGGAAAAACTCCCTTTTAACAGGAAGAAAACCTCCAGCAGAACCAGGCTCAGTGTGAGCGGCCATCTGTTGAGGACGACTGGGGTTCAAACCTAACTTCACATTTAATACATGTATTATGACATTTCATAATTATGACTATAAAAGTCAACATCATGACTTTTTTTTTAATCTCCTTTTGACTTTGAGTCTCATTATTATGACTTTAAAAATCAATATTCTGACAGAATTTCATATTATGATTTTATATCTCATAATTGTGTGTACTATGTGGCAGTTATCTATTTAGCTTTCTTAGGGAAATTAGCTCCCATAGTTATGTTTGCTAGAGCAGGTTGAAAAGGACCAAAAATATCTTCATTTTTTTTAAATTAAACGGTGATACAAATATATTCATCTATGTTTTTCTTTTTGTAAAGTAGAATTAAAACTCCTTTTAATCCAAGCTTTGTCAGTAACGTCATAATTTTTAACAAACAGCTGTCGACAAACTGGAGAAATAGCTCAGAAATAACCTACTGTTATCAATAAAAACATAATTTGACTATGATATGCTTGAGATGATGTGTTGTGAATTGGCGCTATATGAATAAACTGAATTGAATTAATTATAACAAAACAATTAACAATTAAAACAATATCTCATTTTGTATCTTGTGGACAAAAGAAACAGATACTTCTTTGGCAATTACTGTGTTCATAAGCATTAAAGACCATTTTCCCCTATAAAGGCAGTGATGGCGGAGTCCGTCCTCATCATTAAAGGTTCAGGAAGGTTCTGAAGAGCATGTTTGGCCTCCAAAGCCCCAGATCTCCATCTGACCGAGCGTCTGTTAGAATAAGCACCTTCCTCACACGTTGAAGGACTTGCCGCTAACATATTGGTGCTGCATACCAAAGCACAACTTTAGGAGACTGTTGGGGTCCATGATTAGGCTGGTCGGGACTGTTTGGGCATCTAATGTTGGCCCAAAGCTTTAAGGTTTAAGGTCTAAATGTGATGGTTCAGGTGGAGAAATGGGAGACGTTGAAAAAGAAAACAAACGACCATAGGAAGGAGTCGATCAGTCGGAGCTTTTTAGAAATGGACACTCCTCTAAATCTGCTGACCTCGTTCTCCTCTGTTTGGCACTGATGGGGAAATATTTGGCTTCTGAATGTGGAACTGCTAACTGCTTTTGTCTCGAGTATCACAGGTTGCTTGTTGATGTTTTATGGCAGCAGACTTTTAGCGGCTCTTTAGAGCAGCTGTGTTATGGCGAAGCTGATGGGAAACAGAGCTTACAGCCTTGGGTTTCGTCGCCCCTTTTATTGTGCAGCTGTGTAGAAATCAGATTCAATTTAGGAAACGTCTGATTGGTTGGAAAACCCAAATTGCAGGTGTGCTGTGAAAAAAAACAACAGAAACGGCCCTCTGAAAGCACCGCTTGTCTCACTTACCCCTTATGAGTGAATAAATTACGCTCATTTTACGGGTTTTTAGGGAAGAGCTTTCTCTAAAAGCCACAGCAAGCAATAAAACACACCAGGCTGCCAGAAGTAAATGGTTCGGTTGGAATCTGTGAACTCAAGCCTTTTGAAAAATAGTCTCTTTTGTTGGATAGTTAAACAAAACTATTTTTGAAAACAACTTTCTGTTGTTTCATTAATCCAGAGGTTTAGGATATGACCCATAACTCAAATCTAAATCACACCAATGATAAAATCCTTCCAGGTCTGATTTATGACAGATGATAATACGGGATGACGTGTGTCACGTTTCTCTTTTCTTACAAAACACATCAAACGCCCTGTTAGGATCCAATGATGGAGACTGAAGATGATCCAAATTTTCACCTCCTCTCATTGACCTCAGATCTATAGATGGTGTTTTTAGCAGATTGTCATTCCTCTTTGTAAAGGTTAAATCTGAACTTATTATATTATACGAACTTATTATTTCTTCAATAAAAATGTATTGCTATTGCAACAGCCTACATGTAAAGTGAAGTAAAGTGTAATGAATAATTAGCTAAGTTAGCTCTACATCAGTGTTTTGCCACTCATACTGCAGCATGGCTGCAGGTGGATCAGAGCAACGTCTCTGGGTCAGTCTGATCATAGGAGCAATGAACATCACCTCCAACATGGAGAAAGGATCAACAGAGAAAGGAGGAAAAAAAGATGATATACAGGGTTAGTTAAAGGTAATAAATAGAATAAACTCAAGTTAATTTAAAGGTTGTAAATGGTAACAAACAGATTTTGACTTTAGGAAATTTTCCATCATTCCTTCAATGTATGCAAACTGTATCATTAGTGCTGGCTTTTTGGTGTTTCACAGTAATTTATCTATAAAATCTGGTTAAAATGATAAATATTTATGGCAGGACCTGAGTTGACGTTGATGGTCTGAATTGGTTCTGCTTGCTGATCTGCTGTGTAAAATGCACAGTGATGGGAGCATCTAGAGTCATTTTGAGCCTCACCTTGGGAAAATACATGTTTTCACCACTTTTGGTCGCTCTAAAACTTAATAAGTTGAACTGAAATGATTTCAGCAAACAGATGGCCTTAAAACATTTAAGTTTAGTAGCTCAGACTATTTAAAATCCAAATATGTACATGTATTATTTTTGTTAAGATAACATGAATATTAGAATATAAATGTACTGTTTTATTCTGCAATCAGTACATTTCCTACTTTCACATGTTCATACATGTCAATTGGATTTATTAGCATTCTTGTATTTTTTGTATCATGATGCCATTCAAGCTTTAGGATGGAAATAATTCATTAAACAGTGCTGCAATTGTTAAGCATCATTTAGTAATAATTTCCACTGTTGCAACATTGAACACTCTTTAAATCTAACGGGAACCTCATTGTAGTGATAGCCACGCCCCCTGTCAACTACTCAGCCAATGGGGTCTTACCGTCAAAATCTTCACAGGTGCTCTCTTATTGAAGTTAAGTTGTTTTTTTTTTTGTTTTTTTTTACTTATTTGGAATGTTACACTACCTCAACACTTAACAAAATAATACACTTTAAGTACTTAGTTCATATCAGACTGACCCAGAGACATTCAGTTAAAAAATAAGTGAGATCGATAGACGGATCGGGGCAGCAGTGATCCGGTCTCTGTATCGGACTGTCCAAGGACCAAGATTTACGGACCGATCTATGTTCCCACCCTTACCTGTGGTCATGAGGGTAATGACTGGAAGGACAAGATCACCAATACAAGTGCCCGAAATGAGTTTCCTTCGCAGGATGGCAGGACGCACCCTTCAAGATCGGGTGAGAAGCTCAGTTATCCGGGAGGAGCTCAGAGATGAGTTGTTGCTTCTCCACGTTGAAAGGAGCTGAGGTGGCTCGGGCATCTGTTTCGGATGCCTCCTGGTTGCCTCCTTCGGGAGGTGTTACAGGCATGTCCCATTGAGAGGAGGCCTCGTGGAAGGCCCGGGACACACTGGAGGGACCATGTCTCTGAGCCCCCAGTGCAGCTGAAGGAAGTGAGTGGATTGGGAAGTCTGGGCATCTTCGCTTAGACTGCTGCCTCCGCGACCCGGCCCCGGATAAGCGGAAGAAAATGGATGGATGGTAGCACGTAGTTTAATTAATTACTTTAACATTTGGGTCTGCTGTGGAGCCATTAAGCTGCAGCTAATCATCCCTTCTATACTTTAAATGATGGTGCTGTGGGGGTGGTGTCTGTTCCAGAGCAGGTTCACAGACTCAGACATTGCAAATTTTGGGCAAAGTGGACGACTTCTTAGTCAAGACGTGCATGGTTGTAAAATTATTGTAGAGATGGTAAAACAGGTGTAATCAATACTGATGTTGCTGTATTGGTAAATGGTTTTTACTAATAGCGCTTTTTCAAGTCAGGAGACTTGACCAAAACGCTTTACACTACATTCAGTCTTTCTCTCACACACTGACAGTGGCAAACTACATTGTAGCCACAGCTGCCCTGGGGCTCACTGACAGAAGCGAGGCTGCCGTACACTGGTGCCACCAGCCTCTCTGACCACCATCAGAAGACAATGCAGCGCAAGTGTCTTGCCCAACGACACTGAAACACACAATGATACTTAAAACGTCAAGCCTTCGATTTTAGGGCAAACTCCAACATTTGACGACACTGTCGCGCCGATTGACCCTGTTAATAGGTGTAGCATACAAAAAAAGCGCTCCTTCCCCCAGTACGCTTATAAAAAATAAATCTCCCAGCTTGCTTAAGCTCTGGGATTTCTAAAATATTGCAAATAAATTATAACTTAAGATAGTGGAGCTTGGTACATCAGGTAATATCTTTTAGTCTTCTTTTTTTAAACAATCTGCTTCTTCTGACCTTCCTCCTAAACTCATTTAAAAGAAGCACTCCGCATCAACCTATTTGAATTCAACTAGACGCCCTCTTTGATTGGACGGCCCCAGCCTAATTTGCAGGACTTGACGGACTCCACTGGTAATTTATGATTGGCCAGAGGCAGCTAACAGAAAGATTTGACATTGAAGCCTTTTTCAAATACGCTAGAAACTCTGGCAAAGACTTGTGACATGAAGGATTCCTTTGAGAAACACTTTCGATCCACGCAGACAGGGCATCTCTTCACTTCAACGGTTAGTATTTATAAAACATGCTCTTTTGAGATATCCCAATCCCAGTTAGATTTAATTTAATATATAAAGGCCTCTTTTTATGACATGAATTCAGATGAAGCATTTTAACCTTTACAGACAACCTGAGTGAGACTTTCTTAGGAAAGTTTTTCAGCCTTCCCAGAATTGGTCGGTGATTACAGCTAATTGCGGCGCATAATCGCTGCAGAGGAATGAAAAAAGTCCATTAATGATCCTAGTTGGCTCATCGAGTGGGGGTGGGGGCAATGTTTGAGCTCCCTGGAGCTGCCTGTCGATTTGGCTCACCATTCGCTCAGCTGTGACTTCAGTGAAAAAGGCAGCGATTACAGATCTGCGGCCGGCGCTGGAGCATGTGCTGCGTCCCTGCAGAGCCGTGGACTGTGGCTGCAAAGTCCAGATAAATCAATGACCAAAGGAGTCCCCTTTCTGCCGGTTTGAAAGGTACCGCTCTCCCAGACAGTGATTTCCGATTAAAAATGAGGGATATCTGCAAGAAAGAGATATAAACGTCCCTGTCTTCAGCCTCAACATTCATCAGTCAGTTTTATATTCCTAACCATGTTCCACTGACGGCCTTAAACATTATTCACGCCAGGTCTGTCCATGTATATGAGGCTACATTGTCGTCTATCACTATTTCTTTGATTCACTTTTCCTTTAACTGTTTCTCTTCCAGCTGTTTGGACTTTTTAATCTTTTCTGCTGTGAGTTAATTTATGTTCCTCCTTTATGAAACATGTGCAATCATCATCATCCTCATCCTCATTATCCTCCTCCTCCTCTGTTTTTCTGAGGAACACTAAGAATGATCCCCCTCATTTAATCCTTTCAAGGCTCATAAATTCCTCTCTAGTTAATTTTGTCAAGAGCCTTGAGAACGCCCATCTTCAGAAATCAGTTTATATTCAGCATCACAATAACTAAGAGTAGAAAATAAGAGTGTTTTTATCACTTGCACGGATTTGGCGACAGGGAAGAAGTCGACCCACCAAGTTGGAATGTAGAGTACGAGGAAACCCCGTGATATTAACGATAAAAGTGTTTAATATCAGATTGGCTTTTATGAATAAAATTATTTTCACTCAACCATGACGACAATGACCAGACACACCTGGATTCATAAGTTTAGCTGCTAATGAAAGACATGAAAT